TGGTAACAGGGAGTTTAGAGAGGGAGTTGGGAAGGGGACAGGGAAAGGGGTGAGGTTCTCTTGCCTTTCTTTTTAAAATCCTTTCATCAGGACAGCAGGGATGGATGGTGATAGGTCTGCTGTTGTTACCCGCACAGCGCATGCCATGTTTGTCTTCTTCCCAGAAGAAAGAATGGATTTCATCTTCACTAAGTGCAAGCTGGTCGCCATTTTGGAAGAAAAAATTAGAGGACTGGAGGGCCAAGTGTTGACCGTATGCTCGATTAGAGAGGATGAAGACTTCCTCGATAGAAGGCAGCATTTAATCCTGCAAGCACGGCAGGCGGAAGAGCCAGAGAGGGCAGTTCAAGAACAGGAAGAGAACTAGCAGCATTTAAATTCTAGAAGAGGAAAAAGGCAGCACGGTAATCCCCCAATGCTATAGAGGTAAGTAATCGCTTTTAGGCTCTCTCCACAGGCTCTGTAGTGGTGAATGCTTTGGAAGGGACCTCACAAGGAAGAAACCGCAAGGGAACACCATCTACTGGAAGGCATGGGTTATGTAGTCCCACCACCCTCAAAAGAAAATGACGGGTGGTGGTGTTCGGGGACTCCCTCCTAAGAGGGACTGAGCCATTCATCTGCCGTCTGAACCTGGAATCTCGAGAGGTGCACTGCTTACCGGGAGCTCGAATTCAGGATGTGACTGAGAGGCTTACCAAACTGATCAAACCTTTGGATCGCTAACCCTTCCTGCTACTCCATGTGGGAGCTAATGATATGGCCAAAAATGACCTTGAGCGGGTTACTGCGGATTATGTAGCACTGGGAAGAAGGATCCAAGAATTCGGAACGGAAGTAGTGTTCTCGTCCATCCTCCCTGTTGAAAGGAAAGGACTGGGCAGGGATCATCGAACTGAGGAGGTAAATGCGTGGTTGCGCAGGTGGTGTCGCAGAGAGGACTTTGGTTTCTTTGACCTTGGGACTCTGTTCTGGGCACAAGGATTGTTAGGAAGAGATGGGATCCACCTAATAAAGAGAGGAAGGAGCATCTTCACGGGCAGGCTTGCAAACCCAATGAGGAGGGCTTTAAACTAGGTTCATTGGGGGACAGGAACCAAAACCCTGAGGGGAGTGGGAAAGTCGGATACCGGAAAGAAATGCAAAGAGGAAGGAGCAAGAAAGGAGGACCCCTGATATGAATGGAGAAGATGAGGTGTTTGTACACTAATGCGAGAAGCCTGGGCAACAAACAGGAAGAACTGGAGGTTCTGGCCCAGTCCAAGAAATATGATTTAATTGGGATAACAGAGACTTGGTGGGATGACTCACATGACTGGAGCGCTGTCATGGAAGGGTATAGACTATTCAGGAAGAACAAGCAGGGGAGAAAAGGAGGAGTTGCACTTACGATTGCTCTGAACTCCAGTATAAAAAGGGAGAAAAACCTGTTGAGAGTCTATGGGTTAAGTTTAAAGGAGCAAACAACAGCAGTGATGTTGTGGTTGGTGTCTGCTACAGGCCACCGAATCAGGTGGATGAGGTAGATGAGGCTTTCTTCGGCCAACTGAGAGAAGATTCCAGATTGCAGGCCCTGGTTCTCGTGGGGGACTTTAATCACCCTGACATCTGCTGGGAAACCAATATGGCAGTACACAGGCAATCTAGGAAGTTTTTTGAGAATGTTGGGGATAATTTCTTTCTACAAGTGCTGTAGGATCCGACAGGGGCTGTGCGCAGCTTGACCTTCTGCTCACAAACAGGGAGGAATTAATAGGGGAAGTAGAGGTGGGTGACAACCTGGGAAGCAGTGATCATGAGATGGTAGATTTCAGGATCCTGACCAATGGAAGAAAAGAGAGTAGTAAAATACACACTTTGGACTTCAGAAAAGCAGATTTTGACTCCCTCAGAGAACTGATGGGCAGAATCCCCGGGGATGCTAACATGAAGGGGAAAGGAATACAGAAGAGCTGGAAGTATTTTAAAGAAGCCTTATTGAAGGCCCAGAAAGAAACCATCCCGATGCGTAGCAAGAGAGGCAAACATGGTAGGAGACCGGATTGGCTTACAAGGGAAATCCCTGGTGAACTTAAACACAAAAAGGAAGCTTACAGAAAGTGGAAACTTGGACAAATGACCAGGGAGGGATTTAAATGTATAGCTTGAGAATGCCGGGGGGTTATCAGGAAGGCGAAAGCGGAAATGGAATTGCAATTGGCAAAGGATGTGAAGGATAGCAAGAAAGGTTTCTACAGGCATGTTAACAAGAAGAAGGTGATCAGAGAGGGTGTGGGGCCCCCTACTGGATGAAGGAGATAACCTAGTGACAGATGATGTGGGGAAAGCTGAAGTAATCAATGCGTTCTTTGCCTCTGTATTTACGGACAAGGTGGGCTCCAGGACTAATGCGCTAAGTGACGCAAGATGGGATGAAGATGGACAGCCCTTGGCGGGTAAAGAACAGGTTAGGAACTATTTAGAAAAGCTAAACGTACACAAATCCATGGGTCCAGACTTAATGCATCTGAGGGTACTGAGGGAGTTGGCAAATGTCATTGAGGAGCCTTTGGCCATTATCTTTGAAAAGTCATGGAGATCAGGAGGGAACTATAGACCGGTCAGTCTTGCCTCGGTACCTGGAAAAATCATGGAAGGGATCCTTAAGGAATCCATTATGAGGCACTTGGAAGAGAGGAAAGTGATTAGGAATAGTCATCATGGATTCACAAAGGGCAAGTCATGCCTGACCAATCTGATTGATTAGCTTCTATGATGAGGTAACTGGCTCTGTGGACATGGGAAAGTCAGTTGGTATGATATACCTTGATATACCTTGATTTTAGCAAGGCTTTTGATACGGTCTCCCAGAATGTTCTTGCCCGCAAGTTAAGGGAATATGGATTGGATAAATGGACGGTTCCAAAGAGGATGGAGAGAGGCTGTTCTCAGTAGTGATGGATGGTGGAACAAGGAACAGTGCTCTCAAGTTGTGGTGGGAGAGGTCCAGGTTGGATATTAGGAAAAACTCTTTTACTAGGAGAGTGGTGAAGCACTGGAATGGGTTATCTAGGGAAGTAGTGGAGTCTCCATCTCTAGAGATTTTTAAGTCTCAGCTTGACAAAACCCTGGCTGGGTTGATTTAGTTGGGATTGGTCCTGCCTAGAGTAGGGGGCTGGACTTGATGACCTTCTGAGTTCTCTTTCAGCTCTATGGGTCTGTGATTCTATGAGAGGCCATCAGTCATCTCTGCACACATTCCCTGAGGCCATGTCATCCTGGGTGCAAGGCCATGTGTGGCCTGCACAGCATGGCCTGTCTCACATGGGCCCTTATGAGGCCTCAGGACCATGCTGTCTTCTTCTCCCCTTCCCTCTCCCCCTCCCCCCGCACGCACACACCACAGCTAGGCAGGCAAGGGAAGTATGGGGCCAGAGTGGGATCCTCTTGTGGGCAGCAGAGGAGCCGTGAGCAGCCTGCCCTCCCTGGGGTCTGCACACATAGCTGTGGCTTGCTGTGCTGTCTGTGGGAGTGGCTGCTGCCTCACATGCATAGGCATGTCTGTGTGCTGTGTGCTGCACTCTGGAGTGTGGGGGGAGGGGTCGTGTCTGCACTTTTGCATCTAGCCTGCTTGCAGCTGGGTGTGCCCCCTGGAGCTGAACGTGTATGCTCACACATGAGGCTGGCAGCAGGATCCGGGCCATATTCAGGGGTTGCCTGCCATGCCCATGTGCTGCATCCTCCCACTACATGTGGTTGGACCTGCACAGACTGCAGCGCCATGTGCTGACTGAGGAGCCCAAGCTACACTGTCCCCCCCTGCTGCCTGTGTGACGGACTCCTTCACCCTGTGTGTGTGAGAAAATGAGACCACTCACCTGAAGATCTCTTCAAGGATCCCCTGGAAGGGAGGTTGCCTGCCATGCCCATGTGCTGCATCCTCCCACTACATGTGGTTGGACCTGCACAGACTGCAGCGCCATGTGCTGACTGAGGAGCCCAAGCTACACTGTCCCCCCCTGCTGCCTGTGTGACGGACTCCTTCACCCTGTGTGTGTGAGAAAATGAGACCACTCACCTGAAGATCTCTTCAAGGATCCCCTGGAAGGGACATTTGTGGCAGAAGCAGAGCCACGCTGTGAAGGCACCTGCTCCCTACAAACTTCCTGCCACAAGGCTTATTCAGGGAGCCTGCAGCTCCCTGCCACGAGGCTTGTCCAGGGTGCCTGCGGCTTTATGGGGGGCCAGCCAACTATAGAGTTGTGATGAACTTGGCCTGAGTGGCCAAGAGGCCACCTTTCCCCCATCCCCCCTCCTTTGGAAGACAATGCTATTGCAAAAACCCCTGCTGAGTGTCCACACACACCTTTTCGCGCAAGAGCTCTTGCGCAAAAAGGAGTTAGTCCTCATAAAAAGAGGAATACCTACACCACAAAAAGCCCTCCACTCTGTCGATTCACTGTAAATTTACTTGCACAAAAATGTGCTTGAGATGTGGTTGCTCAAAAACCGTTTTTGCGCAAAAACCCTGTAGGATAGACATAGCCCCCGTGTACAGATCCTAGGGATCCATTAATTCTGGGATCCAAATGCCTACCTAGATCAAGGGTTCCCAACCTGGGGTATGTGTAACCACAGGAGGTATGAGAAACTTGTCAAGGGGGTACAAGGAATATTTGGTAAATAACTAGATTATCCTAATTGAAATATTCCAAAAGTAGTAGTGTTAGTGAAAAAAGTTTTGGATTCTAGAGTCTAGAATTTATTTCCTTTCATATTGAATAGGGGATACGGGAAGGTTTACTAAAAGTCAAGGAGGTACGGGGACCGAAAAAAGTTGGGAACCCCTGACCTAGATGAAGTAGGATGCAATTTCTACTTACACACACACACACACACACACACACACACACACACACACACACACAATTATTCTTTCATTCACTTTCAGTCCCCTCCCATTTTTGTGTTTGTTCATACAATTGCCCTTTGCCCATGCCTTTTATAGTCCAACAGATTTTTGTGGATTCAAAGAGAGTTCTGAGGTGAGTACACAAAACTGTGGTGTGTGAATGTAATTTATAATGTAAAAATATTGAAATTCATTCATAAAATGGAGGCATTTACTCAGAATGTGTTTTGTGAAAATATAGAGTTTGGACTATCATATCTATATGAACTGGTTCATGCTGAGAGAGTAGAGGTGTTACTCAAAGATGGATTTAATATTGTAACGCTAAGGGAGGCAGGCACTTCATTTTTTTTTGAAGGAGGGAAGTTGTAATCAGAAATACTCTCCTTTTGTGACTGGAGATCAGAAAGTATGTATTTGTGTAAAAAAGACTAAGGCACTCTACCTGCATGGGATAGGTAGGTAGTTGTGGATCTGTTGGTGAAAAAAAGAGGATGGAAAGAAATGGAGACTTATGCATTTTTCTTGCCTTGTATTTAAGTGGAGGCTCTTCAGAGGGAGTGCTGCATATTTCTGGGGATTAACAGCATCGCTCTGCTGTTAGCTGGCAGTTACATTTGGAGCTTTAAGGGGGAAGAAATTGGGAAAACAAACAAAAGCCTTCCCTCCCACAAATCCCTCAGCTGTTATTTGCAGTCAGTAGGATTTTGAAGTGTACATAAGAAAGCTTTACAATTGACTGAATATGAGGGCTGTTCCTCATTTTTTTCTTTCCTGTGGGAAGTTTTGAACAACAAAAATTATTTGAAAGGCTTAGATTTTTCATGGAATATTCAAAAATGAAATTAATAACATTTTATTTTAATAGAATTTCTTTAAATCTGGAATTTCAGGCTGTGTTCACTCTACGGAGTTTCTCTGGGGTATCGGAGGTATCCCAGAAAATCTCCACTGAGTCCGGGGAACATGTCTGTCTTCCAACATATTTTTTGGAAGAGCAGACAAACTCTTTTGGAATCCCTGAATACCTTTTTTCATGAGTAAGGCTTGTCCAAAATTTAGCTCTTTGTAGACAGGCCAAATTTCAAAAAAGTCTCTTCTGAAAAGAGTGAGAAAACAGTATGTAAATTGTGGAGCACAATTTGTGTACCTTTTTCTGGAAGAAGAAAAAAAAAGTAGTGTCAAAATATCGTGGGGGCGGGGGGTTTCCACATTTTTCTCATGTTTACATTTTTTCATTTCTTTCCCTTTTGTTATCTGTAACTTTTCCAAAATTAGAGAGTTTAGACAAAAAGGTGGGGGAGGATAAAGAAATAAACAAACCCTAGACCTCACTCAGTAAAACTATTGCATTCAGTGGCAAAAAAAGGAGAAAAGAAAGAGAAAGTGAGAGGGGGGCGGGGGGTTTCCACATTTTTCTCATGTTTACATTTTTTCATTTCTTTCCCTTTTGTTATCTGTAACTTTTCCAAAATTAGAGAGTTTAGACAAAAAGGTGGGGGAGGATAAAGAAATAAACAAACCCTAGACCTCACTCAGTAAAACTATTGCATTCAGTGGCAAAAAAAGGAGAAAAGAAAGAGAAAGTGAGAGAGAAAAATCCAAATCTTTAATTTTTAAGTGTGTTCTTTCTGGTTATTGAGAAATTAAAAAGTATGATTTGAAATTAGACAAAACTGAGATATATTATTATCCCTTATGATCAGGGCTCGACAAATAATACAATCTATTCATCCGTGGAGAGTAGATTGTAACCCGGAAGAGCCGGGTTTGGGCGATCAGCGCATGCGCAGAACGATCTGCACATGCGCAGCTCACCGGACTGCGTGGCTCGGTGAGCCCTGCTCATAATTACATTAGGATATTTTTTAACAAATAGTCTTCACAGTCTTTAAGCATGAAATGAGGAAAGCTACAATCACCCCAGCAGTTACCAATAAATCCTGACTACAAAGCCACTTTTACTTAGGTACCTGCCTCTGGATGAATTCAGGCTTAGTGCACATTGCTCATCTTGAGTATGTCTACACTACCCCGCTAGTTCGAACTAGCGGGGGTAATGTAGTCATCCGCACTTGCAAATGAAGCCCAGGATTTGAATTTCCCGGGCTTCTTTTGAATGAAGCCAGCCGGCACCATTTTTAAATGGGCAGTACATTAAGGCAAGGGGCAAGAAGTGATTTCTAGGGAAAGGGACTCTAGTTCGAACTAGCGGGGTAGTGTAGACATACCCTCACTGTGGGTCTGGGGAATAAATAAAGGCCAGGGAAACTGCCACATTGTGATGCTTAACTGGTAAAGGCAGGAGCTGATTTTTGTGGGTGGTGGGCAGTAAGTGATTTGACGGTGAGGGAGGGGCAGTGAGTGATTTTGAGGTAGGATCAATAAATGTTTTTGAAATATTTATAATGGGCAGTACATTAAGGCAAGGGGCAAGAAGTGATTTCTAGGGAAAGGGACTCTGACTGCTTTGTGGAAAAGAACATGTGTGTGTATCAGGCACCTGGAAAATCACTATAGGCCAAAGGTCAGAGTTTGGTGCCCAGGATGAATGGTGGGAGGGATGCAACTTACACTAACGCTCCCTAAAGCCCGCACTCTAGGTGGTTCATTATTTAAATGAGCCAATGGGAGAAGTGAAGGGGTATGTCTACACTACCCCGAATGTAGTCATCCGCACTTGCAAATGAAGCCCGGCCGGCGCCATTTTTAAATGCCGGCTACTTCGGACTTCGTGCCGCTACATGTGGCATGGACTAGCTAGTTTGGATTAGGCTTCTAATTCGAACTAGCTATACGCCTCATGGAACGTATTGGAATGTACCTGCTCTAAGAACCCAGTGTGCATCACAGTATGGAGGGGGAACGCGATGTGGTCTATAGTGTGGTGTGTTCTTGTAAAGGTCAGTGTGTTAACCCTGGTGTCTTACAGTCTAGTTAACCAAGGCTTGTGTACAGAAATCACCCTGTAGTCTCAGGTGAATGAAGTGTTAAATTCCTGTTCTAGCAGCACTGATCTTTGTACTTTGTACAAGGAAGTAATTGGTATTTCTGTTTGTTATGTTTAAAAATCCTTCTAGTATCTAATATATGAAGGAGAATATTTGTATGTATCTGCTCTAATAACTTGGACACTATAAAATCTACCAGAATCAAACTTTCCATGGGATAACCTTTCCTCCAGAAGAAGATTTTAAAGTACTTTGGGACCCAATTGAGCCTGATCTCAACCTGTAAAACATAACCCATCATGCTGCGCTCCCACCCTAGGTCATGTGAGTATCTAATATATGAAGGAGAATATTTGTATGTATCTGCTCTAATAACTTGGACACTATAAAATCTACCAGAATCAAACTTTCCATGGGATAACCTTTCCTCCAGAAGAAGATTTTAAAGTACTTTGGGACCCAATTGAGCCTGATCTCAACCTGTAAAACATAACCCATCATGCTGCGCTCCCACCCTAGGTCATGTGCAGTCGCCGGCGCCATCTGTGACTCACCCCACCCCCACATGCACAATGGCTCAGGCACCTGCCCTGCCCCCCGCAGCTAAGGTTACCAGGTAGTCTAAAAAAATGGACAAACTTGATTGGGAGCGGGGGGGAGGAACCAACCTGGAGGGGAGTGGGGCTTATTGGGAGGAAGGGGTGGGTGGGAAGCA